AGTAAAACGCTCAGTACTTGAATGGGGATGATGTTTTCGGGGTTTAGTCATAGCGGTTCGAATTGTCCTCTGGAGGTTGTCAAGGTTGGTATTGCTCCATTTAATAATGCCAAAAGAGTATGTCAGCACTGGAATAACAAATGAATTGATGGCCGGCACAAGGTTTCTAGCACAGAGTACTCTTCAGTTGTTAGTATGTTCCTAGTAAAAGTATGTTTTATTCGGAGTAACTGTTGCAAACCCAAGTATTTGTAAGTTTCATTGGGTTCCATGAAGGTATTCTTTGGTTCATTCTCATTTTCCAAAAGTACAACTTGCATATGACCCCGAATGGTATTCACTCTCTTTCACTTATCCAAACCGAATTTCTCCGCCACGTTTATTAGTTGCCGCATGTGACTGTGTCTGCATAGAGCTTCAGGTCATATATGTAAAGGAGATGTGAGACACGAAGGAGAGTTGAGTTCCCTTTTTAAGAGCGATGCCATAATTGGATGAATTTTGTAGAGTAGACAGGGGATTCAAGGCTAAGCAGAACAATAAAGGTCTTAAAAAGTCACCCTGGAAAACCCCTCGGCGGATTTGTATAGTATCTGCGTGGACGGATTGTTTTCCATAAGAGATATACAGTTTTTGTATTCCATAGACTCACCTCGGTTTTCAGGAAAGTTTGGATAAACGGGTGGACCTTGTTTGTATACATCCAGACATTGAAGGAGCCAATAATGGGGCACGGTGTTGAATGCTTTAGCAGGATCTATGTAGCATGCGTACAAGTTTCTTTGTTTTGCAAGCACTTGCCCCATAATTACAGAGTCTATAATGAGTTGCTCCTTGCATCCCTGAGATCCAGGTCTACATCCTTTCTGTTCATTCGCTAAGATGTTCTGTTTCTCAATGTGTGTCATCATCATTTGAGTTACACTATGTTATGAGTTTGTAAAAAGTTTGAAGGCAGGTTATAGGTCTGCCCTTCTGGGGGTCTTTAGTGTCACCCTCCTTTGGTAACAAGAACGTTCTACCTTCAGTGAGGAAGTAAGACTGATTTTCTGGATTGTGAAGAAAATATTGAATTATATTAGCTATATGATGGTGAGTGCTGGTAACATTTTTTGGGCCAATAATTGTGTAGGCCATCTTTGCCTAGTGCCTTCCAGTTACGTGATTTGTTCAAAGCTGCTTGGATAATTTCCACGGGATATCTCTGTGTCTGTCATAGTCCATTCCAAAAGTCCTTTATCGGTGCCTTTGAGGGAAATCATTATGATTTTTACTTTCTCGCTAGGGAGTAGAGAGAATATGTAATTACGTGCGAAAAACGGCAAATTTTCGGCAGGAAATAGAACTTCCCGAGACGTTCCCATAATTAGTACAGCTTCCACAATCGGCGGAAGATTCGCAGCGGGTGTGGCGCGGAAATGTCCGCGCTAGACACGGCGACGAAATCCGCAGGACCTATCACACCGAAGCGTCGATTATGGCTCGGCATTTGGTGACAGTTTTCTTAATCCGTTAAACAAAACGCGCTCGCTTCTCTTCATACACGAGATAGAAAATGCCAACTCTCGTAGTTGTTTATGACCACATGTAAACGGTTCTTTTACAGTCTTTATCTGCGATTTTTCTCTGAAATTGTTAATATCTCTTTAAAAAATGTAAAAAAAAGGATCCATGGTTTTGAAATAGAAAGAAAAAAGTTCGGCGAATTTCACACTTTGATGCCTCAAAGGGCGAAACACCCTTTTAATTTACTAGAATGTCTAGTGTCTGTTTTATGAAATTTTGAATCTGAATGTAGACTGATAAGAATCTGATCGCAGAAAATCTAATCTTAAAATTACTTAATTTCGTTCAATGATAATTCTTTATGAAACATTTCATTACTACAATGAACAAATTTTTAAGATCAAAAAATTTAAAAAGTCGATGTTTAATGTTATTAAAAATTAATTTAATTAATTTTAATAGCATTATGAACTCGATTAGAAGTATATTTTTGACCGTTCAGTCTTGTCAAATGTACTGGCGAACTGGAAATATTCGGCATCTGGCGAGTCTTTGATATAGTTTTCTCAGCGGAACTCGAGCGGCAGCGCACAAAACGCGTCCGAGCGCAAAACAAAATGCGCCGCGGATTAAACGCTGCCAACCCGATTCCGCGATGCTCGCTTGCTGTGCAGGCCTAAAGTACTCGTATGCCAACAGGTCAAGCAAAACTTCCGCTTCGAACATTCTGCGTTGACTGCAGATCTTCCTGGGTCCTTTAAGGCTCTCACAGGAAAAATCAGAATCTCTCTTTTTTTGGTGTATTTCTAAAACTAAAATATTTAAGATGGATTTTTTTCTCTTAATGAAATCTGCTCCCTAAAGATTAATGTAGAAATTATAAATAAATGGTCAGTATTTCGAAATATTGAGTACTTTGCGTTTTTGCGTAAAATTACGGGTGAGAACGTACGTGCTTGTTTGCACTAAATACTGAAAAATATTATTGTATACTTGCGTATATATTGCACTTGGAGAAACAGGTTGTACTTCGAAACGGCAATAGAAGAGCTGTATTTTTTAAATGCGCGGCATTGATGTTTCCAAGAGAAGCGGTGAATTAAAGATTCCGTGAAACGTAATGCAGTGCTAAGAAAATCTATAAGATAGAAATTCTGATCAGTACAAAAGAGAGCACAGTTTACGGCGGAGAAACGACGAGCATTAACTCTTCGAGTCTTCGTTTAGAAGGGAAACAGGGCCTTTGGACTCTCCATGAAAACCGGGCTCAAAGCTCGAGAGTGCTACTCTAGGAGGCGCTAGTGTCACTGGGTACAGCTGCAGGTTAGGCTATCCAACTTCCGAATATAAAAAATGGCTAATTTGTGGGAAATAGGAAAAGTGTTTTTTAAATGTTCCATTATTAGTAATATGCACTTATAAGAAACCGTTGAAGAAAGCGTGAACATCGGCTTACCTTTTGTAACATTATGGGACTGTTTGCGTCCCTCAATCTCACGCAACAGCCACACTGGTTTAAGAATTGTTGGCAGCAGTTCGTGTTTTAGTTCCTGTAAGAAGGTGCTGCAGGAGAGCGCGCCACCGTAATGGTTTCTACCACGTCAGCCACGTCATATAGTGACTGAAAGGCCCTGAAGGGAACTGACTGGTACTCCGGCGGTGCTCTACGCCTTATTTGTAAGAAATGTTTTATATTAACGGCAGAGGAATAATTGATATAGACATTAGAGCTTGTTAGGAGCCTGTAGAACTTAAAGACTCGAACGAAATCATTTGCGTGTCACTGAAATAACTGATAGATGCACTTATGCGAAATTGTTTTCGTTTCAGAATTGTTTGTTTTCTTGCTTTGTGTTTCAAATTTTGGTTGCTTATGCACTATGGTAATCTACTTATGCCCATTGCATCTTGCTGTCAAGAGGAGTAGATCTATTATGAGTACCATCAACTGAACATTTCCTAGATTGAAGAGCTGGCTGATCGTTGCTCTTCATGAAGCCAGGAGAAGAGAATTGTTTTCCGCGTTATAAGAATACTGCTGGAAGTAAGACCAACCATTTTTCTTCTCGTCGGTAAAGACGTCAGAAAACATTAAGGTGAATGGTATTGAGCAGGTTTTGTGCGCTAATTTGCTTATAAATTAGTCTTTAATTGTGATCTAAGGAGTGGTATTCTAACTGCGTAACTTCATTTTAGCTGTAATCGGGTGTAGATTCTCAGCCACTGCCCTGAGTTGTTTTCTATTGATCTGAGGAAGGTGGGTGTTGAATGTACATTCAAAGAATAACAGTAACTCTGTATCATGAAGACAAGATGGGAGGGAGTATGTATCGGGAGAAAAATGAACTCCGGGTTAATTATTATTATTATTATTATTATTATTATTATTATTATTATTATTACGAGCCTTTGTTTAAAGTACACGGGTACCTAAGTAGCTAGGCTATGCAGCCCAGCCCTCACAGTCGTTGCCCTGAGAAGGGCGGGGGGGGGGGGAGGTATGGTAGGCGTTGGCGAAGGCGACGGCTAAGGAAGATGGCGGTGGGCCGTTCGGTTCCCGTCGATTCCCGCCTTGGTCCACCCGAGGTCTACTGTAGAGGGCGCCGGCGATCACTACCGCGCTCGCGAAGAGCGGGAAACGAGCGGCAATTTCAGTTTCTTTTTTCGATTTTCACCTCTCCAGTTGCCCTAAAGAAGGCGCGAATTTATTTATTAATTTTTGACTGTTTATCGACAGATAAATCTGGTGCAGCTTGTGCGGGCGTAACTTGAATGTACTAACTAAAATTAACTTATAACTAATTACGTGGCCATTTTGGGCTATGCTAGCTACACATACATTACTTTCTTAAATTTATTTTTCTGTTCTTAAAAATGTTCCTTTTTCTTCTTTTTTGTTCATGCCAACTTCGGTGGCAGTACTCTGTCTTTATACGAAACTGCCGGGCCAGCCCATTACGCGTCAGCATTACCCTCGTTGGGGGGGGGGGGCACAAAGGGGTGGTGAGCGGTCAGCCTGCACTCTGCACTCTCCAGTCCAACGTGGCCCGGGCGGAGTGAAAGAGGTGTCGCTTCCCAACATTTAACTAATGCGGTAGGAAACAAAAGCTCTCTAGTGCAGTAGTTAAATAAGGGCATAACAGTAGTTTGTAATAATTGAGAAACTATCATATTTTTTTAAAATAAGAAAGAGAATTGAACTTTGTATATGCAAACGTCAAAAAAAAAAATTTGGTTTTTAATTTTCTAAAAAATATAAATTTTGTAACTATTGATGCAAGGACAAACATATAATTTCTGAACTGTGAACAGTTTTGTTGTAAATAAGTTAATTTGTGTAAATTCTTTTTGGTGTTGTAATCAATTACTACATTTCAAGGTAATTACTACAGTAACAATACCTAAACTTTCTGGGGTGTATGTTAAGTAAAAAGAAAGAAAGATTGTCACTACTTGTTAAAATATATCATTTGTTCGTTTTTAAATAAAAGATAATGCCAATTCCTGGAGACTCAGATGTAGTCAACAAAGTGTATTTTGTTTAAAGACTGGAAATAGTTAGTTGGAAGAATGGACCCGTGAACAACTTATTTGAATTTGAGTTTGAGTAAAGATAATTTCGTAAGTAGTCAAGATATTTAGAATGTGTGTGCTATAATAATAATTGTAATTCAGTTTATATATATATATATGAAAAATGGAGAAAATACAATATAATTTTTGAAAGATTTCTTCAATGACGATTTGGGCAAATCTTTCTATTGACGCTAAAACTAATATATTTTTTTAAAATAAGCATATAACATCTATGATAATAATGGTAAATTAATTGACAATTTATTAGAAAGTTCCCCTTGTTTATATGAAGCCTTTGCCCTTAACGTAATTCTGCAAGCTCTAAAAATGGTTTTACGTTCTCGCCTCACTAGGTTCTTGCGTAGTAAAAAGTATTTTAATGTTGTGGAGAAGTCCTGATGTTTCAACAAAATTCGTATTGTCGGTGCCAGGTAACGAAAAACTTGACAAATCTTGTGCAGTAGATTAATTCATCTAACACGTTTTGTTGTCAGAATCCACGTTTTGTGGGTCCTTGACACCGAAAACTCGATTTTCGGCAAAACACCGGTCTGCCCTTCCATCTGTGGCCAACGCTAACCCTTAAAGCGTAAAGGTGATTTTCTACAAAATTGGTAACCAGATTAATCATAAAAGGATTCAAATAAATCAACTTGTATTTGTTAAAATTATATTTTTTTCTCTCTCTCCAAAATGATTCGTTTTTATTTGATCTAATTTTCTTAGTTACTATGTTGAGTTTGCTCAGCGACTATTTACTCAAATCCATGTGTCTGTCAGAGCTATTTTAGTATAAAGGTTGAAATCAAATTGAAATTAAGGCTATCTTATTAGTATAAAATAATTTCTCGAAAGATAGGGACCTTGATTATAAGGCGCACACCAAACAAAATGGAATTTGTTAAGTAATGAACGATAATTTTTATTACAATTGTTGTAACTTTTTACATACTACACAGATCAACGTTTACCTTCATAATCAGGACATCTTGTTGAATTTAATTGAGCTATTTTATTTTAGCCGGAATGACCTATAAATTTAAATTAGATTTTAAGCATATTATCGAAATCATATTAGAACGTGTATGCGTATGTAGTTCCAATACTTTTCACCCGTAATCATAGCGGTCTCTTGACGCTTACCTCAATAACACCATCAGTTGAATGATACATAACCGCAGATATCGAAAACAACTTCTACTAAAATCAAAAATATGCAAATACTTTGTGGATTGCATTCCAGCAATAAAATAATGCGTAATTTAAAACCTCTTGTGTTATTGAAACAAACACTTGGTTTACTTTTTTCAATGTAATTTACTAGAGCAGTTCATTGCTAATTTCGTGAAGACGATTTTTTTTCTATTTTTGTGCTCATTAAACTTTAAAATTGAAAATTTTCTTACGAATGGCCGATTAAAAAAATAGTATTGACGAAATATAAAACCATAAATATATTTTAACTCTTTTAACCCTTACACAGATCTAGAAATAAAACCATGTACCTGCTAACCACACAGTGCACAATCGAACGGTCACATTTCATATTGTGATTTGGGATTTAAAGTTTTATTCGTTTGAATAAATGGCTATTAAAGTAACGTATTTTATGGACAATTTATTACTATTTAGCAACCATCTGTAATACGCAAATTATTTAACATTAGATTAGCATTTGTGTCAGTTGTGCATCGCCGCAATTACTATAATTTTATTGCTTTCTATGGAAGCAAAATTAAACTAATTTTTTGAAATATCCCTTAGGACAATATTTATATTAAGACGATTTTTATTACTTATTGCATTCGGGAGTAAATGTGCTTCAAATGATATCTCGTGCATTTTCTCGAAAACCCAATGTTTCCTTTAAAATTTTCAAAAAATCTAAAATGAAAGTTCTCAAAAACACCTAATTCTCTGTCTCTGTCTGTGTGTCTGTCTCTGCCACAAATTATTATTTTAAAAGAAATGTTTTAAGTTACTTTTAATAAATATACTATAGTACTTTTAATTAAAACATTTAATTTTCCCATTAAATGACGATTTAGTGTGGAAAACCGAATGTCGCAATTCAAGGCTGTGAAAACAGAAAAATGTCGGTACACAGGAAATTGTTCCCCAATTATAAATAAAAATTCCATTAGAAGAAACGATATTACGAGACCGCGAGGAGGTGACGGGTAACGCGAAATGGGGAGCAGTGTATTGGATTGCAACGCAATTACACGCACGAGGGGCAGTGCAGCTAGCGGACGGAGCGCGTGCTGTAGTGAGGCAGCGGAAGGCCATTCTGTGGCCGCTGCGTCGGCCGCGTGGAACAGAGCGAAGCCGTCTGAAAGCAGCGGCGGACAGCGCACGACACAGTAGGTCCATTGAAAGGGGCGGGGCGGCGCGGAGGCGGGGCGGGAAGGTTCCAAGTTGTCCGCCGCCCGAGGTCTTCTCGCTGGAGTCGAACTCTGTGCTCCGGGGCAGACGACGTGTCTGTCGCAAACCAATTTCCCCATCCGCAGCGCCCTCACCGCCGACTGTTCAGGCACTTGCTGCAATCGTAGGTCTGGAGGCCGTCGCCCTTACCGCCCGCTTAGAGTCGTTGTCAGTCACCGCCACCACTCCACCCATCGTCACCAACCTCACCTCCACCGCCACCATCATCAGTGCCATGTTCACCAACACCACTGCCGCCACAATTATAGCTTCACCAGAGTAAAAAAGAAACAACCTTACACTGCGCATTTCTCTCTGTCTTTCTCTTGTGGGTCACGCGGTAATTCAATACTGCGAGTGTGGATGACAAACTGATGAGTGAGAAGGATCAGACGAAAGGCAGCTTACGCGTTGCTGCAGTAGGGGAAATCCAAACGATCAACAGAAAATGTGCTATGTCATGAAGAAGGGTTTCAGTAATAAGATAATGTGATGGATCAACACAGTGATGATTAGGTCATTTCTTTGGATACTCCTCACAGTGAGAGTTCCTCTTCAGGCGATGAGAACAGGGTGGTGTATTGCTGGTGGGAGATACTTGGTAGGGGAAAACCCCTCTAGCCGACGGTAGGTCTTTGCCCAAACTCACCTTCCAGTGAGGAATGATCACCGCCCCCTCCCGGGGAAAAACATGCACTACATAACAGCACTACTCACTTACGTTGACGCGCCAAGAATCACTTATCCGTCAATCAAAAACCATCACCACCGCCAGCGCCGTCGCTTCCGCCACTGCTGTCGTCACCGTCATCTCACTATCACAGCCATAAACACCATCACCACCACTGCGAGCGCTCCCCAGGTATCATTGGAACCGGTACCACCACCAGTGGCATCAGCATCGACGCGACCCCTACTCCCACCCCGCCGTCACCCCTACTTCAACAACACGAACACATTCCTACAAATAACGCGACGTTCACTCCACAGGACTGTACTACACTACCTGCACTGTCTGAGTATAGTCTCACTACTTCACCTCACACACACACACCACCATTGCTACCGCTCTCGCCACCATTATCACCGTTCGAGTTGCCGCTTCTACGACTAACGCCGCCCCTTTGTAGCAGGCGCTCTTTGTAAACGGTGGCGCCACGCTGCGCCGGTCGCGCGAAGCACGTGCCTGTCCTCCTGCCAGCTTCAAGCCTCTGAAGTAGACGCGGGGAAAACCGCAAGGCCCCCCCTCTCGTAATGCAAACTCCCGTCTGTGCTTCGAACCTGATGATGTGTTCAGGTGGCCTTTGAGCTCGCAAATGAGCAACTCTGAATTGCGTTAAGATAATGTTAGTTGTGGCTGATACGAATTTCCTCAACTTGGTAGTTTTCATTCTTCATTCAAGGAACCGTTGAATAGTTTTCAGTATTCGCAGTCGGTACGTTTAGGGCTAGAGTAACGAGTTTATTTAATGAGGTTTCAGACAAAATCTCCTATGATCGAATGATCCATTTTTTCATGTTTTCAGCGGGCATTTCTTTTTAAATTAATTTTAGATATTTGTAAGATTCGTAAGATTTGTTTAATGTATCTGAAGACAAAGAGTACGAAATTCTCAAGAAATACATTAATGAATTCAGTGCAGTTATTTGACTGATTTTTAAAACCAAATCTGAAAAGAATGGATTTCGAAGTGAATATTAACAAATTAAAATGTTAAACACATAGAAAGTAAAATTTTAGATTACAATTTGTTACCGACGAAATATATCGTGTAACTTCTATTGCGCACGCATGCATTTATTAAGATTTCCTAATTAAGAAATGCAAAAATTACGGTTCACTAATCACAGCCGAAATACTCAGTTCCTACTTTTTATAGGTTTATTTATAGTTTGAAATTATATACAGCACTAAACAGATACCTAAAGTATTTCCACTAGTCGAACTGCAATGTGTTTACTGCTGCAGGACTACAAAATCTGATATTTCAATTTTTAAAGCACTGGCGTGTGTTTCTCCAAATATCAATTTCTGTTGCTGTTTCTCTTTGTTATTGCAGAAAAATCCACTCAAATAGAGGGTTAATCCAATGTAAATAACAAAGCAATATTATTTTGCTCTTGAAACCTTTTTTATTTCCAATGCATTTGGTGGTTCATAACTACGACTCTATAATCAGCAGTCAAAAAATTTATTTTTTGTAGATTTTTTCTTGCTCGCCTCAGTAAAAGTTATACGTATCAAGAAAATTTCCAAACAAAATAAATATATTCTTAAACACAAAACCAAATCATTATCCATTATCCAGTGAAGAAATAATGTTTGGATCCTTTCACTACACAAATTGAGAAAATAACAAATACTTAAACAATTTTACAATCTGCACAAACATACACAATTCATTATTTACACAAGTATTTCCTTATACTTAACTACAGTGGCCATCACAATCTCATTGAAATGTCTATTGACATTCACTATCTGAATAAAAGAACAAAACAATTACAATATTTTACACGTACTAATTTG